ATTAGTTAGTAATAGATGTGTTGATTAGTACCAAAAGTTGTGTTGGTTGATGTCTATAAATTATCCACGAACATAGAATTCCTGAATATAGTTCACAATAAAAAATCAGATCTGGAGTATATAAACAGAGTATTTTATAAACAGATCTGCATTTGTTTTGTTCTTCCAATTATTTTCCTACAGAACATTGGCGTCTAAAACCTCTCTAGCGACATGATGCAGACTTAACTATTTTACTCTATCGTTGTATTTTCCCATTAGTGCTTGTAAGTGGGTGATGAGGTGGATTCCTATATAATACCTACCCGTGTAGCTTTGTTGAGACAATTAATGAGATATTTTCTACATTCCTAACTTCTCTCTTCTCTCGATAGACTCTCTCCCCCCCATTTCTGTTACAGAGCCTCGAAGCTCTCTTCTTCTTCTTGGAGAGCTTCCACGCCCATAACAATGGTATTGGAGCTTTCGTTCTGGGTCAAGGATTGTGGAGCGCTGAAGGAAGTCGATTCAGATGGCGTCCCTTGAAGAAGCCCTAAAAGTATTGATCGATCAGAAAAGGTCAATCTCGCTCCAGACGTCGGAACGAAACATAAAGATTGATGATCAACAACAATTGTTCGGCCAGATGTTGAAGCAAATGAGGACGATCATCAATGGAGCATCATCAGAGAAAGATCAGGACCGTGTGAGGCAATTGGACAGAGGTATTCTCAAACAACTTAATTTCATCTTCAATTCACCTCTACAAATCCCCAATTTGATGGAACTGATGTTCGAATCTGGATTAAGAAGTGTGTTAAATACTTTGACTTGAACCAAACTTTGGATGTGGAAAAAGTGGATGTAGCTTCAAGGTATATGATTGGGATGGCTGGAGTTTTGTTTAATAGGTATGCTGTGGGAAGACCTAACATCTGTTGGGAAGAGTTTGTGATAGATTTGAGCACTAAATCCAGAGATGAACTAGATCCTTGGCCAGTTGAGGAGTCCAGCATATTAGAACAAATAGGGAGTTGAAAGGATAGTGGTGACAGATCTGAAGAGCTAAAAGGTATTATGATGCTGAAGAGTCCAATATTACCAGTTAATCATGTTTTGGACAGTATTGTAGAAAGATCTTACAAAATCCAAAACATGGGTAGCACAACTAAGTGTCAACCTATGTCTCAACAAAAACCAAGGTTCAGGGCTAATGCAGTGTGGGCTGAAAAGATTGGTAAGGAATGGAATTAGTACTATGATATGATCTATAAAAAGCGTCCCCAGTGTGAGCACAAGGAAGTTCAGTTGCCTCAGGAAAAAGTCATTGGTAGGGATGATAAAGTTCATGCTACAACTAAGGCAACACTGCTATCAGTTGTCTCAGCAGTGCACCTCCCAAGTAAGACCCCTGATGATGGGGCTAAGAGAGGAAAACAAGAAACTTTAGAGGAAATCAGGAAAAGACTTCTGATGACTCTAAATCAGTTACCAAGCCTGTTAGCTAACCAGTGGAGAACCAACCTAGGTTCATACCAGCTTCAGTAAGGCCTAAAAGGATGGAGGAGGAGTTATGCTATTGTTTTGATGAGTCTTTTGCTAAGGGGGGAGGAATGATGCAGGGCTTTGGACTTTTCTAATACTACATACTTACTATTTTACTATTTTTACCTTTCTCTGTTTACTGTCCTATATTTTACTTTACCTACTTGTAAGTATTGGTGTGTAGCCTTTATATACAGATCTTCCGAGTGGAAATGACAACCAATTTACAATCCCAATTTCTTTCTCATCTAACTTTCTCTCTACCTTAACATTCTATTATACGACTCCTCGAGATTCTCTTCTCCTTCGCGAGTAGTCTCCACGAGCTGTATCATTCGTATCTTTTGAGAAGGGTCATGAATGCCTGGGGAAGAAACCCCACTATTTCTAGAAGAAGGAAAATTCTCAAACATGGACCATGGACAGATATTACGTGTATCAAGATGGGAATGGGAAGAGCTCAAAAGGATTGCTACTCATACCAACAAGGTGCATCTTCTTTTCGAGAGCTCATCACCTAAAAAACTCCAAAGTTAAGCGTGCTTGACCTGGAGCAATTTTAGGATGGGTGACCCCGTGGGAAGTTTTCCTTGGGCGCGCACAAGTGAGGACAAAGTGTGCGGGAAAGACTTGTGTTGGTTTGTGGGGCTAGTCTACAATCCTATGAGCGGACACTTACGGCTAGGGTGGGGGCCGGGGTGTTACAAATGGTATCAGAGCAACCCTGCGACCGTGACGGGCCAAAAAGAGCTTAGTTCACCTAGCGGGGAAGATCTAGGGGTTTAAAAAAAAGATGCAACGAGGACGTTGCATTCCTAAGTGGGGGTGAATGTAATACCCCGTATCAAGATGGGAATGGGAAGAGCTCAAAAGGATTGATAGTACTACTCATACCAACAAGGTGCATCTTCTTTTCGAGAGCTCATCACCTAAAAAACTCCAAAGTTAAGCGTGCTTGACCTGGANACTTCCCACGGGGTCACCCATCCTAAAATTGCTCCAGGTCAAGCACGCTTAACTTTGGAGTTTTTTAGGTGATGAGCTCTCGAAAAGAAGATGCACCTTGTTGGTATGAGTAGCAATCCTTTTGAGCTCTTCCCATTCCCATCTTGATACACGTAATATCTGTCCATGGTCCATGTTTGAGAATTTTCCTTCTTCTAGAAATAGTGGGGTTTCTTCCCCAGGCATTCATGACCCTTCTCAAAAGATACGAATGATACAGCTCGTGGAGACTACTCGCGAAGGAGAAGAGAATCTCGAGGAGTCGTATAATAGAATGTTAAGGTAGAGAGAAAGTTAGATGAGAAAGAAATTGGGATTGTAAATTGGTTGTCATTTCCACTCGGAAGATCTGTATATAAAGGCTACACACCAATACTTACAAGTAGGTAAAGTAAAATATAGGACAGTAAACAGAGAAAGGTAAAAATAGTAAAATAGTAAGTATGTAGTATTAGAAAAGTCCAAAGCCCTGCATCATTCCTCCCCCCTTAGCAAAAGACTCATCAAAACAATAGCATAACTCCTCCTCCATCCTTTTAGGCCTTACTGAAGCTGGTATGAACCTAGGTTGGTTCTCCACTGGTTAGCTAACAGGCTTGGTAACTGATTTAGAGTCATCAGAAGTCTTTTCCTGATTTCCTCTAAAGTTTCTTGTTTTCCTCTCTTAGCCCCATCATCAGGGGTCTTACTTGGGAGGTGCACTGCTGAGACAACTGATAGCAGTGTTGCCTTAGTTGTAGCATGAACTTTATCATCCCTACCAATGACTTTTTCCTGAGGCAACTGAACTTCCTTGTGCTCACACTGGGGACGCTTTTTATAGATCATATCATAGTACTAATTCCATTCCTTACCAATCTTTTCAGCCCACACTGCATTAGCCCTGAACCTTGGTTTTTGTTGAGACATAGGTTGACACTTAGTTGTGCTACCCATGTTTTGGATTTTGTAAGATCTTTCTACAATACTGTCCAAAACATGATTAACTGGTAATATTGGACTCTTCAGCATCATAATACCTTTTAGCTCTTCAGATCTGTCACCACTATCCTTTCAACTCCCTATTTGTTCTAATATGCTGGACTCCTCAACTGGCCAAGGATCTAGTTCATCTCTGGATTTAGTGCTCAAATCTATCACAAACTCTTCCCAACAGATGTTAGGTCTTCCCACAGCATACCTATTAAACAAAACTCCAGCCATCCCAATCATATACCTTGAAGCTACATCCACTTTTTCCACATCCAAAGTTTGGTTCAAGTCAAAGTATTTAACACACTTCTTAATCCAGATTCGAACATCAGTTCCATCAAATTGGGGATTTGTAGAGGTGAATTGAAGATGAAATTAAGTTGTTTGAGAATACCTCTGTCCAATTGCCTCACACGGTCCTGATCTTTCTCTGATGATGCTCCATTGATGATCGTCCTCATTTGCTTCAACATCTGGCCGAACAATTGTTGTTGATCATCAATCTTTATGTTTCGTTCCGACGTCTGGAGCGAGATTGACCTTTTCTGATCGATCAATACTTTTAGGGCTTCTTCAAGGGACGCCATCTGAATCGACTTCCTTCAGCGCTCCACAATCCTTGACCCAGAACGAAAGCTCCAATACCATTGTTATGGGCGTGGAAGCTCTCCAAGAAGAAGAAGAGAGCTTCGAGGCTCTGTAACAGAAATGGGGGGGAGAGAGTCTATCGAGAGAAGAGAGAAGTTAGGAATGTAGAAAATATCTCATTAATTGTCTCAACAAAGCTACACGGGTAGGTATTATATAGGAATCCACCTCATCACCCACTTACAAGCACTAATGGGAAAATACAACGATAGAGTAAAATAGTTAAGTCTGCATCATGTCGCTAGAGAGGTTTTAGACGCCAATGTTCTGTAGGAAAATAATTGGAAGAACAAAACAAATGCAGATCTGTTTATAAAATACTCTGTTTATATACTCCAGATCTGATTTTTTATTGTGAACTATATTCAGGAATTCTATGTTCGTGGATAATTTATAGACATCAACCAACACAACTTTTGGTACTAATCAACACATCTATTACTAACTAATACAACTTATAGAAATAACTACCTTTAACCTCCAGAAATAACTACCCCTGTCCCTTTTATTTTTAAAATTTAAATCTAAACTAATAACTTATGACCAGGAATTAAACAATACGATTAAATCTAACATGTTCAACCTTAACTGATCATCTCATGTCTTGCGTGACCTGCCTCTCCTCATTCGTTTCATTGCGCCGCAGTGGCAAGTAGAGAAACTATCAGTTTACAGGCACTACCCCGAAGCTCAAAACAAAATACCGTATTTTATTATAAAAAGTACAACCACAAATCGACAGCAGCATCCCCGTCATGATCAAGCCAGAGAAATTTCTAATGTATAAAAACTGAAAGCTGTGTGTATATTATTATGTGCTTAAAGTGACTTATTGCTAATATTTGTCTCAGGTGGACTTTCCGGTCGAAAGATATGGTGCCGAGTTTCTCTATTATGCCTACTGTAAAACATAAAGGCCAGAGAACGTTTCCTCCCATATACAGCATTGTAAGTTTCATCCAATATCCTAAGTTTCATTGAGTGGTAATGTCATATTGCATACTTCCCTCTGTCTGTTTTATCTCTACCCATTGGTATAAAAACAAGAAAACTAAGGGTAAATATCAGAACTTCAGAGATTTTGCTTAAACCATTAGTATGTTGGCAGGAAATGGATGCAGCCACTTTCAGAGACTTCAGTGCCCACGAGTGGCACATCGGTGTGGTGAGTAATTTTAACCTCCAAACTCACCCAATTATGACAAATATTGGAATTTTTTTAAAGCTATCTTCTTTTTTTCACCTTTTACCATAATTCATGATACCCTTGATAATATCTACTGTCATCGTATTTAATAATTCACTGTATTCCAAATTTTTAAAAACTTGTAGCCAACTTCTCCTAAAAAGGGAAGCTTCCCAGATTCAGTTCTAGTTGTAATTCAACACCCCCACGTCTACACGAAGCCGCAGACTTCAGCCCGAACTCAGCAGTTGAACTAAGGATTGAGTAAATGATCCTATAACTAATCCTATAACCATACATTAGTAATCCTTTGTTTTCAATTTTAACTTTTAATGTGTTTGTATACACTGGTGTAAGATCTACAGATAGCCAAGGCAAGAGCTGCTGCAAAGTTTGCAAGACAATAACACTGACGAGCAATAATAAAAATGCTCGATATACATTTACTATTATAAGTCTGGTTCAGACACTTCAGAATTTTTTTGAAGTGAGACTTGCCCATCAGTAGTAAAGGCCACACATTGGGATTACCCTGTAAATGGTCAAAGGTAAAGGCATATATACATATAGCACTTGCTTGGCCCTGCGAAAGGAACTTCTCGACGCACACCTTGAAATCGTTAACTGATAAGTTGGTTTTGGGTTAGTATTTTTTCTTTATTTTTAGGCATTTTTAATATTTTTAGATTATAATTTTTAGTTGTTTAGCTTAGTTTTATTTTAATTCTCATTTTTACAATATTTTAATTTTCTTTTAAAAATAGTAGTTTTTAATCATTTTTTTACATTTTTTAATTTTTTATTTTATTTTTCTAACCCAAATTATCAGATATCTTAATTTTTGGAGAAAAGTAGAGCAAAAAGTCAAATTGAAATTCAAATCTGGAAAAAGAGAAAGATTTTGGGCCAGAGCCCAAACCCAACATTAAAGAATCAGCCCAAAAGCTTTCCTCCCTCCACTTTACTTTCACGCAAGGAAAAAAGAAGAAGTCAAAGAGCAGCGGTTCTTCCTCTTCGTAGATCACAGGGTGCATAACTCCTTCAACGTTCGGCTCCATCAAACCGATTAAACCAAGAATCGATTAGACCTGAAACCGATTAGACCCAAAACCAATTAGACCCAATATTGATTAAACTCAAAACAAATTAAACTCAAATCAAGTCACACCTAATAGCTCATTGGTTGATATTTTTTCAAAAAAGCATATTTAATTTGTAGATGATATTTCATGAACAAATCTATTATTTTGTATTTTATCACTTAAACTAAGGTCGTTGTCTATTTTTATACAGAGTATATTTAATTTATAGTGACATCGTAACACATATTGATGAATATATTAGACTCATTATTGCTGACACGTGTATATATACCCCTATACACACAAGGAGGGGAGGCTACAAACAAGGCTTACATTAGGAACTTTAATACTAAGGGATCTCATCTGAACAATATAAACCCAAACCGATATCAACCTAAACCGAAATAAACTCGAACAGAAACTGAATTAGAACGATGAAAAAATCAAACCGAATTAAACCTGGAACCAAATTGAACGGAACCAATTATAACATATGTCCAAAAGAGACATGAATAGAAAAGATCCAATTTGGAACCGAACTGATTGACCCGATTGTCAGGTCTAGGAGTACCCGCCATGCTCTAATTTAATAGGATTCCGTACTTTTCTTTGAGCACTTCCACCTACGGAGACTCATAATCTTTATGACAGGTTTTGATAATGCCAAACCGCTGAGAACGAGACAAGTCATTGAATATACAAGGCGAAAAACAAAGATAAGAACAAGAGCTAAAAGAAGACCGTAGTCTTAGTATTGTTGAGTCGGTCACAATTGTGATCAAGACCGACCCAAACCTCACGCCTTGGCTCTTTAGGCTAAAATCTATTTTTGCATTTATAATATCATAAAAATGTTTTTCAAACTTGTTTAAGACATTAAGAACACTTGGTGTTCGCCCAAACCAAAAACCAAGCCATCCGACGTTCGGCTTTCAGAAACCGGCATTCGGCATTCGATTTTCGGTGTTGGTTTTTGGCGTCCAAACCAACCAAGTGGTTTTCAACATTTTATGATTGGTTTTTACTTTTTGGAATGTTTAAACAGTTCTCCAACAAAAACATCTTAAAAACCACCTTTTTGTTTTGGTCGTTTGGCAAATGAAAGACATAAACTTGGCTAGCCGTGGTTTTTACCCAAATGACGTGGTTTTTAAAGTGTCTCACTTGATTTCTTAGCCAAATACACCAAATAAGTGTTTTAAACACTTGGTTTTTATTTTGGAGAACTTTGGATTTTTCGGTCGGTTTTTGCATCGGTTGGCTAGGCCGCGGTTAAGGCAAAAACCATGGGTTTTTTACTAACCACCTACCCAGTGGTGGGAAAAACTACCCATCGATGGGTAAAATGTCCTTTAGCCCAACCAAGTTCCAGAACCATGCCAAACAGCGATGGGAAGTTCTACCCATCGCTGTTAAAACCTTGGTCCAACATCAACACAAGGCAGAACGACCTTACCCAGCGATGGAGACTTTCACCCATCGATGGGAACCCAACGATGGGAAGGCTTAACCATCGCTCGGAAGGCATGACCGTTGGAAGTCATTTAAGGTTGATTCTTTCCTTGTTTGGAAGTCAACCTCCCACCCAGCGATGGGAAGCTTGTACCCATCGATGGGTAGGTGACCGTTGGCTTCAAAACTGAAGGAAAATTGGCCTACCAGCGATGGGTAGAAACCATACGTCGCTGGGAAGCCAATATCCTGCAGATCCACAATTTATTCAATCCCTTAAATCAAGCCAATCACCCCTTTAATGTATTGGTCTGTTGGAGCCTATTTTGGCACTATAAAAAGGGGTGTTTAGGTCTGCTTTTTTCATCAATTCACTTCACAATATTCATATTATCATTGCATCCAAACCATATTATTTTCCATAGCTTTCTAGAGCCAACTTGTGTGAAGTTTGAGTTGTTTTTGAGCGTATATATTTTACTCAATATCCACTCTTAAGGAGAGTCTTGTTCTTGAGTGTCTTAGTGTTGTATACACGTTAAGGGAAGCCTGTTTTCCTTGGTTGTACGAAGGAAAAGTATTTTCCTTCGTGTTGAAGTCTTGGAGTGCGGTATCTCCGAGCAAGTGTTGTTGAGGCTCGTGGGACTCGAGTTCTCAGGTTGTAACGGTTTGTTAAGCACCCGTAAGCTTAACGAGAAAGTAGTGTAGCTCGAGAGAGTCTCTCGGGAGACTGGATTAGCCACACGTTGTGGTGAACCAGTATAAATCTTGGTGTGCTCCCTTTACGCTTTCTACGCTCTTTATCTTTCACGTTCTTAGTTTTTTATTCCTGCGATTTCTACGATCAAACGCTATTCACCCCCCCTCTAGCGTTGGTCACCTATTCTAACAGAAGAATGAAGATCTATATTATGATGAAAGCTCAATACGAAAACCTACATTCGTTCTCCTAAAATATTTTTATATTGATTTCACACTTTCATATCACCTTGTTTTTTTGGCATGTAAAAATTGAGTTATGTGTCAACCGAAGATTTTCAATCGAAGTTATTTATGTTAAATCTCTAGTGTACGCATTTTTGGGTTTCTAATTTCGGCTCAAAATTATTCAACCGGATCATAATTTCAAAAGGTTAATTGAATACTAACAGTAGCTTTAGAGTACAAATTATTCTTAGAATAACGATGTAAATTTTGGATTGTTCGTAGTGAAATGTCTAAGGTTATACCACCGGAGAATTCTCACAGTGATTCGTTGCACACACAGAACAGAGAATGTACCACACAGAAAAGTATGACACACGCAGTGTTCCAACACCCACAGAAGCAAGCTAAAACCAGATAATAAAGTAACAAAAGCAAAGCACACACACACAATATGTTTACGCATTTCGGAGCTGAATCTCCTACGTCTGCGAGGCCCACGTCCGTGTAACAGCCCTCCACTAGATCATCATAAGTTTTTTACACAGATCAACCACAGACTTTACTTTCTAGAAGTTAGACTGCAAAAACTACTTATGAATGACCTTAGGTACCAAAAAGCAATAGCACCTGTCTCCCTGGCTTGTTACACCCACTCCTTGGTTTCTTCCTAGGACGTGTTGATAAGCCTTGTCTCCAGGGTATCACAGTACTCAACACCTGGAACAATCTTCCCTCTTACGAGTGTGTGTCACAGATGTTTGATAACTAGATTCTGCAACTTTGAGTTCGCAACTCAGAACCTCACGCTTATGATGAGCAATATTGCGCAAGTTTGTTGTAGGCTTAACTCTCTCTTTAGTCTGCTGGTTCACTCGTATTTTTCTGCCTCTCAAGTCGTCATCTTTCTTCTTCTCTGGCGTTGTGTATTTATAGTGCATCTACCAACCCTAGCATAGTACTGGAAGGACTCCTTGCGCTTCTGAGATATCCAGGGCCACGTACGTGCTTGATAGTTGATAGGGTGTCAATCATTCCAATCTGCCCAGACTCCTTCAGAAGATAGACTTGTGACGATGGTTGTTATAATAGCCTAGCACTCCCAAAGTCCTGGCGCTAGATGTCCACTCTGATTTCAAATAGGATGACAAACCTAAATGCTACAACACCGACCAAAACATATTTCTCAAACTAATGTGGTTGTGTTTACAAAAAAGGATGCCAACCAAAACTAGGGAACTAACACTATAAGGGGCGAACTAACACGTAGTGCTTTTGAAACTCGATATACGGAGTATTACTTTTGTGGAAGATTACCCAAACATGAGATTGTTGACAACCAATTCCTCATAATGAAAATAGAAAATTTTTAAAATTTAAACTACTTTCAGTCTTACATTAAAAGTCATGTAGAGTAAAAGTGCGATTTAATAAACCGAAAGAAAAATGTTACTTTTCTTTTCGTTCCCATTAATGTTTAGGATTGGATTTTCACAAAGTATAACAAAACATACGCTGTCTTGTTGAAACTTATTTAGAAAGAAAAATACATGAAACCCACAAATTATTCCAAAAAGTTATTTTGAAATTTAATAATAATCTGATCCGTAAATATTGCTTTATTAAACGAAAACGGGAAAAAGTGATTCATGAAAATGTCTAGTCTTTTATGATTCATATGCATTGTGACTACCATTTTATGCCTTTTATGTAATTTAATATTTTGTAATAAAAAACAATCCATTTTTGTAATGTTGGAGTAACTAGACCTGGTAAAACATACCCGAACCCGATAATCCAAACCGAACAACCCGGAATCGAACCCAAAATAACCTGAAAACTTAAAAGCCGAATTAAACCCGAACACCCGAAATGATCCGAACCGGACCGAAACCAAACCGAATGTATCAAGACCTGATTTAGATTTGAATCTGATTGAACCCGAACTAATTACACCCAAACCGGTTAAACCCAGAATCGATTAGACCTGAAATCGATTAGACCTAAAACCAATTAGACCCAATATTGATCAAACTCAAAACAAATTAAACTCAAATCCAGTCACATC